CACATTATTTCAGCTGATCTTCGCTTTTTTTATCATTAACATAGCTGCAAAATTTATCTACAACTGTAAATATATGAAAGATAATAAACTCACACTAAAACTTCAATTGCAATCTAAAATATTGCAGACGAACTATATTGCTTTAACAATGAAAATAACAAAGCTGAAATACTTATTTATTTGCGATAAAGCTAAGGCCTTTTGTTTTTAGAAAATTCAATTTATATAAATACATGTTTCTTTACATGTTCGTGAGTGCACCTGACTAAATGACAAATGAATAATGTATTTTAACTTAAATAGTTATTTCATTATAAATTTAAAAAAAAATGAAGATAACGAACGGTAATCAATGCCATAAATCAAGTAAAGGATATGAATTACTGAAAGGGCAAAACTTGAGGAGAGATCTGGTGCCTAGGAGGAGTAAGCATCCCCTGTCGACCGGTCACACCCGCTTTCAGCTCTATGTACTGATCAGGAAGACGGAGCAATCCGTAGTAAAGCTTAGTTTAAGAATAATGATTTAACAATTGATATGAAAGATATCAGACCAAATGCGACCCAACATAATACCTTCCCGCATGTTCTGCTGAAGAAAAGACTTTATCGTAAACCGTTCCAAGAGTGTGTTATATTTAGGCTTTCAGCATCCTGTCCGGCCAGACACATAGGGTCTTTTACCTATGGAGGGGTTAGGTATTTCTACAATCTTATGTGCCGAGTCGAATTGTGCCCCTCATATAAAATTTTTATTCATATTCTTGCCCTTGACTTTGGTATAATTAATGGGATTTTCTCAAAGAAAAGGTGGTGTTTCGTTCATGTAGACTTGCACAGTTGGCAAAAAATACTAAAAATATTCCTTCTTTAAAAAAAAAAAAAACAAAACAAATGTTATAAGAATTCTGTCTAAATCTATGTTATAAAGTATACGTAATGCTTGTATTTTGATGTGATGTATAGGTATATATATTAAATACAAAATAACCTGTACATGAATGGTGTTTGCAATACTAATATAATACAACTTATACAAAGCGAATGATATATTTTTTTTTATCTGGACATACGATTTCATTATATTCTGAAATTTGACTCGTTCAAAATTTTACTTAACATTATTACAAGAATCAAAATTGAATTTATTACATTCAACTTTTATTCTTGACATCTTCATTTAGTATCATGTACTCTTTTTTTACTGGGATTTAAGAATAATCTCAAACTACAAAAATGGCATTTTTCGTTATCAACTCTTATTTATTATAGAATATATAGACAATATTGAGAAATAAAATTATTGGATTTTTTTAAAAAGAAAATTTGCACTTTCATTACTTCATCATTTTTAAGCAAGTGCTCTGTAACAGTTGTTTTTCCTACTTTCTATCATTTGGTAGAAATACAACGTCGTTAACAAACCACAAGGTACAATCTATGCCTCCAGATGCAATGTTATATCAACTGAATGATGTGATTTGAGTTGTGAGTTTTTTTTTAGAGAAAGACTATCTATAGATGAAGATTTTTTTAAAATTTATATTTAATCAGATGATGTAAGATTAGATTGAAAAATTAATTTGCATTGAAATATTTAGTTATTTTAAGCCGGACCTTTTTAAACTTAATATTGTATATTTTCAGTGTAAAGTCTACAGATATTTTTAATGTCACATCATAGGAACATATCTTTTATTCAAGAGTCCTTTTTTCGGGAGACTGCATATGCTGGAATTATACTTCGCTTTGAAAAATCTTAACATTGATTTTTGTATTTTGATTTGTATGTCCCCTCACTTACTTGAAATAATGACAGTAACCTTAGTATCACCATTTCCTTTGACCTAAATCCCATTTGTTTGACAAAATCTATTATAATGCTAGTTAAAGGCATGAAAATATCAAAAACATCAAACAAATTTAAAACTTTCATTTTCTGGTACATTAATTGCATTATCGCACACAAAGTTGTTTCTTTACTAGTCTTGAAATCAAGACACATGACTTATAATAGTCCTATTAACGCACCCCTCTTTGCGTCAGTTGTATCTATGATTGAGTCTTGATGTGATGTTCATACATTTGTTCTGAAATGATTTACAGTAGTTCTTTATTTTGTTTATGTGTTTCTTTGTTTATTTAACGTTCATTCGAGAACTTTCTCACTCATATTGAGACGCCACCTCTTACCGGTGGAGGGCTGCAAATTTAGACCGGGACAGGGCACTCAGGGCCTTTGAGCAGTGAGGGACCTTTTTCGTGCCAGCACCTACTGCGACACGGGACCTCGGTTTATACGGTTTCATCCGAAGGACCGATCTCCACGTCCCGAAGTGGGATTCGAACCCGCGACGTAAGTATCAATTACTTACTTCGCGACTTTAGAACAAACGCCTTCTAACCACTACGCCACGCATACGACACTTCTTTATTTAGAGGAGAAGTCCCGATTAGTACAAATTTCAATTCTTCCGAAAGGCCTTATAAATGAAATATGGAGATAACGAACAGTAATCGAGTACAGAAGGAAGTCGGAAGCAGAGCAAACACAAACCTCTAAAAACCTGAAAGGCGGGATCAGATGCCATGGAGGAGCAAGTACACCCCGCCGACTAGCCACACCCGCCGCTAGCCTGCTGCCACGACCGGGCAAACGGAAAAATTCGTAGATATTTCAGAATAAACAATACATCCGCCGTGTGCCCCTTGTCATGATCGGGAAATAACGGAAAAATCCGTCGACAATTCAGTGTGTAAATAATGGCCTAACAATTAGTATGAAAAACGTCAGTCAGCATTCAACTTAATGAGAGACTGCATTTGCTGACAAGGTCACTGCATCGACCATAGAACTTGCGAAATGCTGATTTTAAACTAGACTGTTGATATCCTTGTTTCACTAGCCTGTCTGTCAATAGCCTGCTCTGCCTTAGAAATTGTTCGTACGTAGAGCATACTATTGCTCATTGAATCAACTGAGAGATAAAAACTCCACAAGCATGAGACAAGGGCACAATGCCAAAATAAGGAAAGTTGACGATAGAAAGTTGAAGTCATTTTGTTTTTCATAAAGTTTCGTTGTTACGTTATAATTAACATTTTTTTTCTAGTAAAATATCCAAATATGAAAAAGATGTGTCAGAATCTCTGGTATCTTTTATTTCCAGTTCAAAGCGATATATCGATTCGACATATGAATAGAAGTAACTATTGTTAATTGAAAATACGTCGTCGATATATCTAAGTGTCGAACGCCACACCAAGTGTTTTCTCAATACAAAAAATAGGTCTGCTAATAAAGGGGCGCAATTGGTACCCAAGGGAATTCCGATAGATTATTGGAAGACTTGATCTCCAAAAATTACATAGATATTGTCATTCAGAAACTCAGGCATCTTTTTAATATCAGATTCGGAGTACTGTGTGTACGATCAGAATCTTTTAAAAATCTTTTAACAAAATAATTTTGCAAATGATCAATGCCAAATTAAGTAAATTTACGAGTTCCATTTTATTGAAAAAGCAGGGACTTGATGTCAAAAAGCCTAGACTTTAATTTATCGTGGGGAATGGCTGTATAAAGTGTTGAAAAGTCGTACGTTTTGAAGTTATTGATTTTGGTAAAATTTTGTGATTTCAAATTCTCTAAAAGTTCCTTTTGAGTTGTAAAGTATCCACATCTGATTTACGCCACTTCTTGAATATAGTGTTGTGCAGTACTCCTCAAGTTTCCCCTTCCCTGCTGTTAATATTTCAGTGAGGAGTAAGGAACGAGGCTTGGTAGAACATTTACTGAAACCCACTTTGTATCTTTGTTTGTAAGGATTTTTATGTAGTTTAGGAATCCAGTATAAGTCTGGTTATTCAAATCCATTTTGAATGTTGGGAATATTAAAAATATTTAAAACTGACATATGATTTTGAAGATTTTCCTCCATAGAAAAGGGAGCGATGGATATAAGTTGGATTACCACTTGCAGAATTAAATCCCAGCTTCTCTGAAATACAATTAAAATAATGAACAAAAATCATATTTTGTTTGAATACCACGATAAAAAAAGCATTTTTATTCTGATAATCTTAAGCATTGATCAAATCTAGAGGATATCCATGTTTTTTTTTCCTATGGATTGTTATTTTCACCCATTTCATTAACAAGACCGTGCTTTGGAACTTTCGGTCGTATGTCTTGGCTGAGACAATGTTTGCGATCTATCAAGAAAAAAAAATTGAAACACAAAAACTATCTGTACAAAACAGAATTAATAAATCCACTAGTGTGTCGTGTTATTTCAATTTTTAATCGGTATATATAACGAGTAAAAATATGCAAAGAATGTAAAAATGCTATTCACAATCGATAAAACATGTGCTACCATGTATAATGAATAATACACATTTTTATAAAGATTACTGTTAACTTGCTTGATCTGTGTCGCCTCTAATTGTTTCGAGGAAATACATATACCTACTCTTTACAGAGACCACAATATCTCATTTGTTAGCTTTTTTCTTTTCATTACCAAAATTTCTTTGGGGGTACATTTTATACGTATTATATTTGGCTTTGTATTCATTTTAGTGCTTTTGGTGGAAAGACAGTTTCGCTAATTCAAGTTCTAAATGTCCTGCAAATATATACATAAATAAGACCATTAAACAATGCGCAAAATCAAATCTATGCCAACTTGTTTAAAACTCAATTTCCGGCAAATATCGTACACGCTAAATGTAGTACATTAATTTTACAGTTATTAAACATGATTATTATACAACCACTTAAACACTTAAATTGGACTTATTCACAACCAGCTGTTTTTATTTCTAACATTTTACAAAACATGGTCATTGCAAATTTGTTATAAAACGACAAAGTTAACGAATGAATGTACATAATCAATCATCACTTAAGTAAAATTAAAGAAATATTTATCATTGCGTTGTTAAACCATAAACAATGACATCATTCATTTATATTCATATTCAAATTTTGAATCAATGATCACTTATTGTTAAAATGTATATGCATTAGATCTGGCTATTATGTACACTGAGGTTAGTTTTGGTGTTGTCAATTCATCCACAATTACGCACTAACAGTAAATGCAATTTCTGGGCTATTAGACGACGCCTGCGCCTTTTCCAGGCGACTTTCTTTTGTTATAAATAATGCATCCAAACACAACTATGGCTATCAAAACTAATGCTGCCGCGCATACAGCGATTATCAGAACCTCGTTGGATGAAGATGGTGATTGTAATTTCTCGCGTTCCCAAGTGCTGTCAGTAATCACGGACAAAGAAAGAATGTTCGAAACATCGCCTTTGTTTCCTGCTTCATCGACAGCACGGACTGCTAAATAGTAGTTCGCATTAACTTCCGGTAACGCCAAAGAAAATAGTTCCAAGCTCCCTGGATCAGAGGGGGTGGGTATGTTTCTGGTCAATGGTTCAACCGTTTCTGGAGAGTTCCGTAAAGTTGAAAGGTTCTTTGACAATAAAATGTTATAAAGCAAAGCTGTTACAAAAAAAAAATAATAATAATAAAGATATTTAAGGTACATATTGATTTGAAGCTTTGGAGGTGATTTAGTTTCCTTTCCAAATATATGTATTGTAACAACTATAACAAAAATTTAAAGAAAAAAATTTTTCACTTGTAAGACATGAAACAAAAAAAAAAACTTTCTGTACCTTTGCCATATGTGACGTCATCTCCAACAGCATTCCAGCTTACATTAAAAGAGTTGTCTTTTCTGTTGATCACTTGGAGTGTTATTATGCGCGCCGGTGATATGATGTCATTAGTAATATTCACTTGGCTATAATTATATACAGTGAATGAGCCACTGGATGCTACTCGTTTAAAACCATCTACAGTCTTTGTTTCCAAATTTATGGCTGCTGCAAACACAAACATTAATATTATTGCTAAATACTGAACAGTCATTTCTTCTATGATATAGACACTTTAAGATGATTTTACCTAAATGAACAACAGCTTATCAAACTTTAATGATTTACCGAAAACCCCAGCTACGCAAAGCAAATTTGCATAAAATATATACAGTCAATAGATAGAACATAATTATTAGTATTCCCCTTACTGTCTTCATTCTGTGTTTCTCTTTTCCGTCTTCTAACCTTTGGAACAAGAATTTTAGTTTCACCACTTTTTCCTGTTACTATGAGCTTGAGGCTATGTCTGCCACCTTCTTTTATTTGAGAAGGTAACAACACTCCTGTGTAGAGTCCATCTCCCTTAATTATATCTTCACCTGAAGAAATTACAAATGTTTCTGCAAATACTACAAATATTGACGTAAAGTCAATTTCATTACAAAAATTGTCATTTTAATTTTATTTGCATATGTGAGGAATACGGAAGCCCGTTGAGGCCAATTCAGAGAAAGAAATATTTTTATTGCGTTTAAACGCAATAAATATTGCGTTTAATCGCAAAACATTGCGTTTAATCGCAATAATCATTGCGTTTAAACGCAAAAGATTGCGTTTAATCGCAATCTTTTGCGTTTAAACGCAAAACACTTTGCGTTTAAACGCAATATACATTGCGATTAATCGCAATCTTTTGTGTTTAAACGCAATAATTATTGCGATTAATCGCAATGTTTTGGTTTAAACGCAATAATTATTGCATTTAAACGCAATGAAAAATATTTCTTTCTCTGAACTGGCCTCAACGGGCTTCCGTAGAGGAACGACAATGATGAGAAAATATAAGGTAGCCTCTGGAGAAACAGAGCAAAATCCGGAATCACTTGAACTACAAGTTCACATCGAAAGATCTCTAGCTACGTGCTTGTCGTATACAATATGGGAAATCTGATCATAAGCCATAGCCAGTTCTATACATGTAGCTGATAATATTGTTATTGTTAAAATGTTACTTATGGCCATGGCTACCCTGCAATTAATTTCTTTGTGTTTGTGAATTTCAGTGTTATACTGAAATACTGAGCGAATGGATCTGATGGTGATATTCATGAGCTTGAGATGGGTCATAAAAAGCGATGAAAAAGAATTCATTTCAAGATATGTTGTGGGTAAATCTATGCATTTTAAATAATCATGATTTATCGGTAGCCGCTACGCTACTAAATGTAGAATATTCTAGTTGAATACGCGTTTTTTCTCTTCTTGTTCTAAATGTGTCATTAGTTTTCTTATAAGAAAAAAGTATCAGAAAACTTTTCAGGACTAATTTCTTTGTTATTGGTCAAAGTGGCTCATTGTCTATTCAAATTCGTTACATTTACCTTGACCATTATCTGTTAGAACAACTGTTAACACTTCTCCTTTAGAATCCTCGATGTTCATTGAAACAAAAGCATCCAGGACTGGTGACGATCCTTTCATAACTAAAGCATAGATGACAAGAGGAGTGGAGGGGGAAAACGCAAACGAGTCTGAAGATATCCAAGCAGTCGCAGTGAATACGTCCTCAGAAGGATCTCTGGGATGTGAATGCACTGTCAAGGTTAAAATTATGTCCATGTCGGCGATTGATGAAATCTGTACGTAGTAAGTTCCAACCTTAAAATGTTTATTAAAAAGGACACGATTACAATTTGTTATTAATTTCAGAATAAATACATAGGCACCAAATTTTCTCGTTTTACAGTATAATAAAACGGATGTGAAGTTCATATAGCCAAGGTGATTTTCTAGAGGACCACCGTAACGTTATAAAACGGATAGTAAAACCCCCATCTTTATATCCACAGTGTGAAAATGGGTATTATTTTCTTTTAAATTTCACTATATATTCCATATAAATTATTCATACTATTACTCATTCATTAGCGCAGTCGTTCCAGGGTCGATAGATTTTTTTCTAAATGTTTTAACTACGCTACGGACTAGATATGACTTAAGTCAAGAAAACGTTCTTAACATTTTTTAACTTATTAATCCCCTGTCAACTACATGTATTACTTGTTTTACAGTTTAGTACGCTTACGATTACTCGTAATTTAACAACTGTAACGTTTATTTTCTTACTGAAAGAAAAGCGGAAACATATTACTGCGTATTTTCTCTCTATGAATATATTGTTACGAAATACATATGTTTGAATACATTGAATTTGTTTAGCGTAGCTGTTTCTTTGTTGTTGTTGTTTTTTTTTTCAAACATTTTATTCAACATTTTTCAAACAGTTATTGCAGAAAAATTGATCAAGAAGAATACTGGAAACGTACTCTTTCCATGGGGTCATAATTCCGCGGGATCACAATTTCTGTTCAATCTTACGCTGATTTCTTAGATTGCCTCAATATACCTTAACTTTACTTTAAGTTCACTGGGACAAATTTCTGTGTAAAATTTGTGACCGTGCACATGGCTTAAATTAATACCATGCGGAAAGAAGTACTTATGCAATAGTTTTAAGATCGAGTTTCACAAAAATTACAATATTAGGATAAATTGCAATGTAGTTTGTGGAAATCAAACCAAAATAAAGACTCGTCTATGTATTGGTGTGCTCTCCTTATTTCAATCCTGTTGGAGGAACGCAATTTTGAGCAAAACTTCTGACATACAAACAGACAGATGTCAGATGGGAGAGGTCAGATAAATATATAGGCTTACCAATGCATAGATGCAAGATTTTCTGCGTTCTGATAGATATTAAAAATAAAAAAAAATGTAAAAGTTAAAATGGAATCCAATAAATATATTAAGCATACATACCTCTGCTAATCCACTTATCTTTATTCGACATGAATCTGTACATGGATCAGACGTCCAAGTCTTATTTCCAGGTCCTATGAGTGAAGCTGAAATATCGCTTACATCAGGGCCTTGCAGCAATAAAATTGTGTCGAGTCCCAGTGTGGAGTCAACATAAACAACAGTGGTGTAGTTCTGACCTTTCATCACACTTAAGCTTTTACTCTCTATCTGGGGGAGAAAATATCCAAGTCATCATTTCACATTGTAATCTTACTGTATAACACAGAAGAGAGTGCGGTTGGTACATGTAAGCTAGAAAACAAAGTCTTACGCAGGATCGTAGGAAGCAATTTCAGTTGGGGGGAGGGGGGCACTATCAACTACGTACCAAAAATTCCTTGAAAACTTGACAAGCAAAAAAAAAGACGTTATTATTGAGGGACATACGCATATACTAGTAGTAGCTATGTTTTATATAGTATTCTATATATCGGCAAAATTATTGGGGGGGGGGGGGGGGCGTGCCCCCCGTGCCTTCTTCAGTTCCTTCGGCCTTATTCAGGTATTTTGACCTTTACCTCGATAGAGGTGTCTTTTTCATCAGGCAGGTAATTTACGCTTGATAGCTTCGGTAGACCATAAGGGACGATAAGGGACGATGAAATATTTATTACCAAGGTGTGACCGGTGCAAAGTATGATGGGACAGGTACTTTTGGGGGCATTCATTAGCTGGGACAAGCACTTTTCCTTTACAAGTGGGAGAACACTTTTTAGTCATAATGATATACATAGAGTGCAAAACTGTCTTGTCTCAATTAAGTTTTTCCAAATTGTCTGGAGAATAATACATTTTAGAGTTTGAAAGTATAATTATAAACATGCTATTACAAGAAAAACAATACCAAATTAACCACATTTCATTGAAAAAAAAAAGTAATTTCAATGATAAGAGAACACATCGATATCGACTGACTGGCCTTAACATTACGATGTACCCTTTCTGTGAAAAATTCAATCCTTTTTACAGTATTTCATTTTAGATTTAAAAAAAAAATGCCACTCTTTATTGAAATGTAAAAATAAGAATGTTCAATTAAGAGAACACATCATTATCGATGACCCTAACATGATGATTGATGCTTTCTATGAAAATTCATGTCTTATTATATCAGAAACTCTCTTTTTTCTAAATCAATATGTTAAAAACTCTTATTTCTATATGTAAATATATGTAATAAATTGGATTAAATTTTCAAGGTTTGTACCAAAGTGCTCAAAGTGCTTTGATATTCCTGCAAATTAAAACAAATTATGACTCATAGTGTTCATTTAAATCAATTTTAATACATTATTTACAGGTTGCATCTAATCCAAAATCACATTTAAAAGTCCAAAACATATAGTTCTATATAGAAAAAAAACAATATTTCTTAAAGTGAATGGATTTTGTACCCTTCAAGTGGAAGTCATCTACGCAAATCCTCTACATGGCCGACATGCACTAATTAAGGTTTTCTTATATTGGATCTCTTCACACAAAATGATGATGGAATATATACTTTTTGCATCCTTAAAGGTATGGGACCAAGACTTTTTTTAATTTTACTTTTTTAATGGGTTTGTTTGTTTGTTGTTGTTTTTTTTCAATCGGTCCCACCCTGGTGATAAATATGCCTGATGTCCCTAAAAGTGCACTCGTGTGAAAAATTAATCTATTTGACCTTCACCTTTGAAGGTATAATCCCAAGCTAAATATATGCTTACTCTTACCAGCTCCTATGCTGGGATCTTTTTTAAAAAATAAAAAAATTACCAGATTTACTATTCTGCATTGCTTAAATAAGTAATGACAATATGAAAAGTCTACACTTTTCTTTTTCCTATACTCAATAGATTCTATAAATCAGACTCCATCCATTAGGTATAATTAAGGAATAACTTTTTTTTTTTTTTTTTTTTTTTTTGGTTTTCTTTTGTTTTTGTTTTTTGTTTCACGATGAGATCAAGCGATTGGCTTGCGTCATAATTCGCATAAACACCGAAGATATTTATGCATAAAATTATCAGGCAAGCCAATAGCTTGATCATCATCATGAAGCCAAAAAAAAAAAAAAAAAAAAAAAAAAGAAAAAAAAAAAGACAGTTATTCCTTATATCTACATTATCTTCTCTACCTGATTCCGTATATTCACGTGTTCTACG